CCTGGTAAAAAAAAAAAAAAAAAAAGAGAGAGAGAGCTACATATTTTGTTTCAAAGTACTTTAAATTTCTGTGTCGTAAAATTAATACCTTTTTATAGTGTTAATGAATGAAGTTCAATCACTGAAGAGTCTGTACTCAGAGAACTTTCCTCTGGGCCTTGGTCATAAAGCAATCTCTTAGTGCCCACGGCACAGCTTCCGACTGACCCATCATGGCTGCTGGTCTGCTCACTGTGGGGCCCACTCTCGACTATCAGCCTCCAGTTGTCGGATGCCATTTTGAAGAGCTTTTCAGGACAAATGTAAAGTAAATATATCCACATTCACAGTTACACTTCAAATTCAAGTAATTAAAGTAAAACATCTTCAGAAGGGCTAAGCAGCTATTTCTGAAAACTCTCCTGCCTCCCTCCCCGAAAGGCCTGCTGAGCCTGGCTGTGGGGAGTGAGGTCCTAGCCAGTGCCTCACCTTGGTCAGACCCCCGCTGCCATCCTGCCTCGTGTGCGCCTCTGTCTAGTGAGTCATTCAACCACACTGTCTTATATTAAACCAAACTCCAACTGCCAAGTTGTATTTTAAAACCCTCAAATCAAAACAGAATTGCTCTGGGTTTTTTGTTTCATATTTTAAAATTCTAGTAAAACCGAAATCAGTTCAAGATGGCCTACACGTAAATGCTGAAACTATCATGCTTTATACACTAGACGTAAGAGTAACTTTAAGACCAGGGAATAGCAAAAGTTTCTCAGAAGAGAGTCAGCAAAAATCACAAAAGGAAACATTGGATAAAAAGGTTTCCCAGGATGCAGTTAACAAAAATTCATGGATAAATTAGACTTCACCAAAATTAAAAACTCCTACTCAGCAAAAGGCATCATAAAATAGACAAGCCACAGTAAGAAATACATTTATAAAACTTGTATCATACAAATACTGGTATCTAGGATACATAAAGAATTTGTTCAAAAGAAAGGCAAACAATAAAAATGTATAAATGACTTGACTAGATATTTCACAAAAGATTTATGGAAGGCCAATAAGCACACAAAAAGAGATTAACATTATGAACCACCGGAGAAATACACATTCAAAGCCCAACACTGTACCAGTACATACCCAGCCGAAGCTGGCAGGGATGTGCAGGACGAGACTCTTTTGCCTCTTCGTGGAGATACAGATGGGTGCAACTGCTTTGTAAAAAGCCTGGTAACTATTTATAAAATAAACAACTACCTACTCCATGACCAGGCCATTCTATTTTTGAATATTTACTCAAGAGAAAGAAAAACCCATCAATGTACAAAGGAAAAACAGACCTGGATGTTCACAGCAGCTGTATTCATGGAAAACCAGTGTCTGTCAATAGGAATAAGGATCAAC